GTGCTGGAACCCTTCGCCACTCTGTCAAGAACGTATTAGTCAGGACATGTCGTGCTTCGTGGACGGTGGCCAAACGTGCCGAACAACACAGATGGCAATAATAGCAGGGCCATAGGCCTGATGTTTTCATCAGGCAGACACACGTTGCATAATGCAAGAGCTTATTGGGTGAGGCTCATGACTTGCCCCGCCGCACCCCTTCCGGCGGTTTCGCATCCGGCGGTTTCAGGACGTGAAACCGCTGCTGGACCTCACGAGCGCGGTGGCGGGGCTCATGCTCATGAACAAGACGCCGGACGAGATTCGCGCGACGCTGGGCATAGAGCAGCCCTTTGCGCCCGAGGTTGAGCGGCAGCTGCGCGATGAGATCAGATGGTCGACGGAGCCGCCCGTGCGGTCAAACCAGGCGCCTCCGCCGCCCGCCGCCCCACAAGCGTGAGTGCGCCGCAGCTCCTTCTCCAGCCTTCTCACATTCTTTCCCGGTTTTCTCACGCGTACCGCTGTTGCTGGAGCGGAAGGCGCGAGCCTCACTGCTTTTCCCTCTACGGGGTGGAAATGCGTTGTCGGGCTGCGCGTGAGCAGGGTGTTGTCATTTTTGCAGTTGAGCTCAAAGCGTCTGGCCGGCGCCTGGTAGTCAGTGACGATGTTGCAGGTCAGGCATTTGCTGCTGTGCCTTGGCACACAACACACAACGCCAGCAGCAGTCTGCTGTACTGACTGGCACCAGGTGCGCGTGATATCTCTGAGCACCCGTGGTCATGGTTCAAGAACCCAGCGATGCCATCCTAGCCTTGTTTGTCACATTCTGTTTCACATAGACGTAGAATGTGTGTACGCGTATGTGCACGTAAGTATGTGTGGGGACTGTCATTTGACACTTTGTGTTCTGCCTCTCGCAGGCCATGCAGACGGGCCACATCTCATTGGAGAAATATGTTGCAGCCATGCCATTTGTGTAGCAGCCATGTGCCCATGCTAAAGTGGCATCACCATCGAATGTGGCAGAGCATTTCAGCAGTGTCTAATACGTACCTTCAAATACATGGCATGTCAGGAGCTGCTTCACGCCATTGGAACTATGGTGCAAGTCTCGCCACGAAGCGCATATCAATGACATCGAACGCTCACGGCTCAATGCGTGTTTGTTGCCTCTGTATGCGCGCTGCAGGCAATGATACTGCAGCCACTCAGTTGCATCTGAAGTAGGGGGTCCTGAGAGCAGTTGTGCAGTGCACGACACGTAACAAGCGGCTGATGGGCTAGTGTGGTCCCTCATAATCAGCATCACCAGCGCCGCCTGCAGGAGACAAACACCGCATGTATTGACTTGAGCAGGCAATCCTTGACAATCGCAACCGTCAAAGCATGCGACATGCTTCACGATGTGCTCCTGTGCATAATGAATGAGAAATGTTTGTACACGTTCCCTTGTTCAAGCGCTGCAGTCTTCCGTCTAAAATTCTGCATTGCGAATTGGCTGCACTGTGAGCGTAGTTGAATGTGGCATCACGTTTTGGCACAGTGCTGTTCTGGTCAGCAGCTTGTGACCTGGCCAAGACAACATCTACATACAGCACAGAATGCGGACATTCTGTCAAAGCCCTCGACTAACACGAAGCCGCCTGCTGAATGTTCATGACCATCGCTTGTGCGAGGCATGCAAAGATTGTGCACACACCTCACACATGCCACGTGCCACCCTGCTAGTCTGCTGTTGTTCGCCTGATGACACAACGAGCATGAGATGAGGGGAGGGCGATGGACTAATCTGCAAGCATCACCAGTGGCACGTGCCGCCCCTGTCATGTCCGTTTTTGTCTGTGCGGTGACGTGACGAGCCTGCTGGATGCACACATTTTGCATCATGACACCATACATACTACTTTAATGCATCAGATTATGAAAACCTAAGGATGACGGATCCTCAAGCTCGCACAAGGCAACGCCGAGAAAAGTATGCAAACCTACTAGTTCAGTCACAAAAAATGCTGTTTTGCACTCACACGGTGAAAAAAAAAAATGTATGCACAAGATCATCTCCTCCATTTCAAAGAAAACAATATCGCCTCTCCTCAACTTTCAAAAGCAAAAGATCAGGACCCACCGAGAATCGAACTCGGGCCTGTTCCTTGCGAAGGAACTGTTCTGCCACTATACTACGGGCCCAGATGGCTGACGGTGTGGATCGGCAGAACATCCAAAACATAACGCTGCCTTCCCCCCTTGTTCATCTACATGCGACGCGGAGCTCCATCTCTGCAGACAAGCCCCTGAGCGGAAGCACCAGATCCCGCACCGCACCACCAAGAAAGGCGAAGGCGAGAAGGCGAAGCGAAAGCCTGTCATGGCGGTTAGAGCGCTCAGGCCAGTTGACACACAACGGAAGCGCTTTCAGTTGCAGCGCACTGTAGCAGAAGCAACAGCGCACACTGTCAATCACGCCGTGCCCTTCTGTGAGTTCGATGAATTAACTTTGCCGCATTGGCAGATAGCAGCGCCCAGGCATCTCGATACCGTCAGCATGCTGCGGCGTTTAGCAATGGCACATTTGCTGTCTTTGCCGGCCGGTCCTATGGCGCCTCATGGCTGCCCCTGCAATGCGCAGCGTGGCAGCTTACTCGCACGCGGCTGCGCAAAAGCGCCTGGCTTGTGCTCCGCAACTCTGGATTGCACACCGAGTGCGGGGGCTAGCCCAGACGTAGCTGCCAGACTGAGTGCTGAGGTGCCACAGTGTGTTGCGCGAATCATATGCTTACCTGATCCACACGATCTAACGGCTGCTGTTTGCCCGATTGCCGCGTGTTCACCACACGATCCAACGGGCTGCTGTTCAACGATGAATACTATACTCAGCAAAGCACCAAATTGGCTGGCGTCAACCAACTGTGGAATACTGTACATGCATGCATGCATACAGCAGCAGGTGCCACAACGTTGAACGGGTCATCGCTCTCGTCGCAGAATGGTGCTGGCGTCACAGACGATGTTGCTGCCGACTCAGAGCCTTTTCGTCTCACGCAGACTTGCCAACGCACGGCATCATCGCCGCGAGGTTGTTCGCTCGCGCCAACCGGTCAAACCCGCAGCTCTCGGTGGTGCCACTTTCCAGGGCCGCTAAAAGCTTAAAGCAGCACGACGGCACCCCCGCACACGGGGCCAGCGGTGACGGGTTGTAGGCAGCCCAGTGTGTGGTGATTTGCACTCTATGTTTGCCATCGCAAGATAAGTATCATCGCGGGCCCGTAGTATAGTGGCAGAACAGTTCCTTCGCAAGGAACAGGCCCGAGTTCGATTCTCGGTGGGTCCTCATTTTTTCCTCTGTGTACCCATTCATCGAAGTTTCAGGGGGGTCTGAAAATGTTTGCAATTTTTTTCAGAGTAAAAAAACCCCTGTGTATGCATATACGCCCTGCCATGTCTGTTGCATGATCACTTAAAATCCAGTGGCAGGGTTGTCAGTGCTTTGGTCGCCATCATTCGTTTTTGTAACATACTGTGCCGTGATTTGCCTGAGGATTTGCTTCCTATGAGAGCTACCCATCGATGATTGTTTTTTTTCATTCCCTCAATTATTTTTTTTGTGCCTTAAAATATATATCACAGGCACGCACTACAGTAGGTTATATGGTAGCGCGTCATGCCAAAGACTACGCGTAAGCTACAATTGGCTGAAGGACATGCGCATACAAGAACCACACACTCACAAAACAGTTGCAGTCATCAAGTTGCAATGAGAAGTTTAGTATTGCATCAATTGGTAACTCCCGAGTACTACCTATGTCCCTTGCTTATATGAAGTCATTAGATTCAATTAGGAGATTGGCATGACAACTTGAAGGATCTCATAATTTGCAGCTGCACTCAGTGACTCAGCAGGCACAGTGCCAAGATCTCGAGCTCCAAGTGCTCCTTGCAGGTCCAGTACTGGTTGTGTGTTGGTGCGAGCAACACGCATGCGCACTGTCAGATGTGATTCTTGTTTTCTTTGGCACGCAATAATCAGGTCCATCCACACGCAGCTCACAGCTCGTGTGTACAAAACTTTAATGCAGTAGCAACGCACCGTGTTTGCTTAGCACAGCGAAACAAGTCAGACGCGAGGCTTATTTGTAGACAGTGTTTCCTCACAAGGGCTTACAAGCTCAGGCTCTGATCCAGCTGCGGGCATGAACATATGGTAGCTTGCTGAGCATTCAATGCAAGTTGCTGAGCATATGCCACCACTTGACAAGAGTCAGCTTCAGATGCAGGACAAGTCCCCCGTTCTCGCATAACTAGCCTCCTTCCTACCCCAGTTCTCTTCATGAGCACTTGAAGAAGCATTGGCGGTGTACAAATCACTCTCCGACACAAATGCGGCTCGAAGCGCTGCTGGCGCTGCTGACAGCGACGCACACACATTCACTAATGTGCATACAGTTAACCACCTTACGTGAGCGCCGGCACTAGCAACTGCACGCGATCAGTGTGACCCCCAAATGCCCTGCAAGCGAGAGAAGTGTGTTTGTGCCCGTGTGTGTTTTTGGCATTCGTTCAACCAGTCAAGGCCTGTATGCCCCTTCCTCCTCGGTGGCTTTGGGCGAGACTCACAAAGACACAGCATGCGCACGCCGATACGGCACACGCAACCGCACGGTGTATTCCAACGCGCTTCACACACGACACAATCGTGTTCGTAAATTGATGGGTGAGTATGAGCATACATTGCTGAGTCTTTCAGCAAGGCACGTGAACCCCTGAATGCGCTTTTCCAACACGATCAGCGTCATTTTGTCAGTGTACCTATACGCGTCCGCAGCATCAACCGTCTGAGTTTCGCGCTCCACAGATCACGATGGATCGATTCAAGGTGCGCGCCACCAAGGTAGCATTTTAACCTGCTGCGGGTATAAGTCAGCAGCGCAGAAGACTGCTCGCCGTCGCTGCCCGAGGGCGCAAGGCGGTGCAAGTAATGGTTTGCGGTTGTCACATTCTCTGCTGTACATGACTGTCAGCCATCTGGGCCCGTAGTATAGTGGCAGAACAGTTCCTTCGCAAGGAACAGGCCCGAGTTCGATTCTCGGTGGGTCCTTCCTTTTTCTGGCTTGCTTTTTTGTGTTGTGTTGCTTTTTTCAAAAGTTTTTCTCACCTGCTGCCTCAGTGCACGTATGGACTTGTATTTATAAAGGCCCAAGGGAGGCCGGGTTGCCTATGCAATCGAAAAGCTTGCGTACACTTCTGCATTTTGGTCAAACTTTTTTTAAAAAGGCTGATTTTAGTTTTAACAAAATTCAAGAGGGCACATCAGTTGCTGACTTCAGGTATGTTGCAGGGATCAATACGCTCAGTACATCTGCAAGACAAAAGCTCCGTGCACTACGACGGGTTTTCGCTGACCAGACTGGAACCTCTCATGCTGCACAACACAGCAGTGCGTCCATGGTTCAACAAAATTATTCTCACATACCTAGTGCAGTGGTGCGCACAAAGCAGTCCCTTTGCAAGCACCAGGCCTGTAGGCTTATTGCATGCTTGGGAACCCATTAACGAGCTCGTTGCACCTGAATAACTGCATCTTTCAACATTTCATCACCAGTAAAGCACAAATGAATACCGACAAATTACCAATTGCACTGACGACATCGTCTTCAATGCAAATGACGACAAACATGTGACACAAGCTGCGAAGCATATGCCAAATCTCAAATCGCAGCAGTGGCAACTCTCAGGTCTTGATGGCTGTGCCTTGAATGTGGCGGATGAGATGAGCTAACTTTTAAGGTATCGCAAAGTTGCGGCCTGGCCCTCTTGTACATATGACTCATCGGATGCACAGTGTGGGCCACTGACATGATTACTCTAGTCTAGTGGAGGCGCCGTTTGCCTAAAACATCACATTGCAAACAACAGCACGTGTTCTGCACGGTTTGAAGTAGAGAATCCGTAAGTGCATGGATGCATGGATGCAACATGACCACTTCAGTATGCGCATCACGCATCATCGGCATGCGGACAATTGTCACCAGGTTGAGGGTAGGTGGTGTCAGCACTCGAAATGGTTTGACAAAATGGTTTTAACATTGCAGGCCTGCAGACGGCAAATGGCACCACCTCATTGCCAACAGCTGGTGCGCAGGATCCGCAAAGCATGTCACCAGTGAGGGCCATCTATCCTGAATCTCGACTGCATCTTTGGGACAAGGAATCTTTATGCTGTTGGCGTGTTCACAAGCGTGCTGTGTATATGCTGCATCTGTTCATTTGAATGCTTACACCTTCCAACACAGCATGGTGTGAGCCTCATGCGTCCGCAAGTCATCTGCAACGCCTTCTTGACGGTGAATGCAGCACCCTTCAGAACATGCATGCCCATGCATCTCCTGACCGCATGAGTCACGACTTGCCAACACACGTGTTCACCATAACTCGACAGATGACAGGCTGCACGGGAGCTTGCACACCACCAGCTGGACTGTGCATTTTACATTGACGCGAAGCAGGGCAGCAATACACTAGCCAACACGCATGCGAAGCACTGCAGCATCACCCCAGCATGTTTTATGCAAGTAGTATTGATACAATGCAAGCTCATGGTGGCTATGCAGATGCTCCTCACGTCCTTGCGAAAAAGCTCGTGATGGATTTCGAGCCCGGGCCTGCAGCCAGCGCAGCTTTCTTGGCTGGCGGCGCCGCCGCTGCTTTGCGTGAACTGGGAGCATACATAACACACACACAGAAGCACGTGGCTGGATGAGCAATAATTGACGTGCGGCACAATAGTGACCTATGTTGTGCGGTGCATAACAGATGGTGCATGCTGCTGTTTTTCCTGTGAGCTATGTAGAGTATTCTGACAGATGGTATGCATACTGTTCATGTTGCCGCTGCTCATGCAGAAAATGCAGACCATGTGCAGCATGAATAAGGGTACGTCCTATAGTTTGAAGTATATGCCTTTCTGTACGAAGACATGATGGAAACAGTAAGCTGGCGTGGAAGTGAGTGACGCCTTTGCCTTTTGAGACGAAAGAGCATGCACATCAATGAATGCACCATGACAATGTTTGAGGTGAGCGTTGTGCGGCTGTGGACCATGCACGTGCAGTGGTCACACTCCTGCAGACAAAAACGCTGTCTGGCCCTAGCTGCAGATAAACCACTTCACAGCCCTTCATGCGAGGCTTCGCAAGCATTCTGCTGCCCTCGCTACAAGCGGTGACATGTGTTTCTGTGACTCTATGAACACGAATCAAAAGATCGTAGAGCTCTAGGTGACTTTATGCTACGCGCAACAGGTTACCAGCACCACCAAATGACTCATGCTGCGCGACGATTCAATGGGCTTTATAAGAAGCGCACTTACCCCGACCTGTCAACAGTAGTGGCAAAAAGCCTGCCATGCTGTTCAAGTAGTTGGCCGGAGCATGTTCAATATTACGTTAACTTCAACATCTTGTTGGGTCCACAAAGCGGTGCTACAATCACCCAATACTACAACTTATGTACTTCGAAGTAGTACGTTGACACGCATGCAAACATCTACAATGCTGCCATACAGCGCCGTTCAATGTGAGAAAGTGCCTGGATCAAATGTGCCGCCATGGGCATGGAAGTAGCACATTGCCAGACGCTATTTGGAAGAGGCCAAGCACTGATCACATTTTGCCATGAGACGGATCACTGTTATCATCCATAAGAGAGCAGGCACTGATCACGTTTTGCCATGAAACGAATAACTCTTTCTGTTTTCAACTCGTGCCGCCTTTGCGCCGCTCGTGTCTGTGTCTGCACTGTCAGGACTGGCGCACGCAGCTCACAACACATACTGCTGCTCAACCCATGCCGCTATACTTCACAGATAGTCAGATCATCACTGACCTGGCTGCTGCCATCGTGGCGAGCTCTTCGCGCAGGAAATACAGGGCGCCATCGGCGTCGACGCACTGCGCTATGTCGGTCACGCGCAGGTTGCGCCGCCCCGACTGCCGCGCAGCGCCCCACGACCGCTTGGCGAGCGTTGCTATGAAGAGCTCCGTCGCCTGCGCAGAGAGTTATGCGTGGCGACGGGCGCGAGAGAGTGAGACAGTGACGCAGTGTACGAATGCGGCTTCGAGATGAAGCACGCTTGTAGGCGTGTGGCGGCACCATTCCGTCGCGCAGGCAGCCGCCAGTGGCTGGAGAAGGTGGCGGCGAAGAGGCGCATTTTGCTGAGGCATGGCCCTCATAGGGAGCACTTCCAAAGCAGTACTTCGCTTCAAGTGTGCACATGATGGTGACGGTTAAGAAGTGTGAGCTGCTGCCCTTCAATGCTGGCCAAGGAGGAGCTGCCACGCTGCACGCAGAGCCACACGGTGCCTTCCTGGAAGTTTATTTGAAGTCATAGGCAGCATCAGTTACAGCGGTTTTGTAGCCGCCACAACAATGCGTATTTGTTGGTAAATGCACACTTTGTGTTTTCGGGCAGCACGGGGATCTTGGCTGTATGCTCCTGTTGCTGTCATGTCATTTATGGCAACCGTGACCAGTTCTGCTTGAAGAAGTCATGTCATCTCATGGCAATGATGAGAGAGACAGCGCAACGGTAACTTCCATAGTGATAAGCCTCGTGCGTTTCCTCCGCGCTAAACATGCACATGACGGCGACGAGAGCTGCAGCATACAAGACAAAATATCACGTGGGCATACACATTGAATACTTTTACATAGCGAGCGTTCATGACTGTGCTCTGCGTTGAGTGGCAGATGCTGGTATGGCATTGGAAGCCTTCGGTGGCTAAATTGCGTGCCAAGAGAGCAGGCGTTGCAGGCACAGCACTGGACTCCCTCACCAGCTCTATGGCAGTTTGTGTGACCAATCAAAAGCGCCAGGACAGGCTTGAGTAACACGGCCATTCGCCTCCACTGAGATGACGCGATTGCCATGGCACTGTATTGGAACATGAGTCTCGGCGCATGCCACTGACCAGTGTTTGAGATTAATGTGCAGCCTTGTGTAAATAGCACGCTCACATTTCAAATCGTCGTGTTTGCCACTTTGCTGACAGGAGTGTTGAGATCGAGTGGTGTGATTGACTGCAGGCAAGAAGCATTGTCCAAGTGGACGGCTCAGTCGCCTGTCCATTGCACCATGCGCAGGAGGAACAGTGTTGTAGATGACCAACCCCATGAATCACGACCTGAGCACACGCAGCTGCGCACTGAGCCCTGCTGACTTAAACATCAAGTACTGCAAAGCAGTTGTCAGCATTAGTGCACTCAATAATGTAGAGTCTATACTCAACCCACGGTTTGAAGTTGTCAAAGACAGTGCGCCCTATCGTAGAGCCATGATGACGCAGAGCTGCTCACCTTGGCAATCGTCGCGAGGCCGTCGGCGTTGATGCTCTTCACCTCGGCGTCCATCTTGGCCGTCTTGCGCACGCGCGACAGCGGCAGAAGTATGGTCGTTGTCGCGTCGGGCGGCAGATCCCGTTCCTCGCCGGACCTGACAGCAGCGCATGCGCACACCAGCAGCGAGCATCATCAGCGGCGGATGGGCTCGTGAGCACAGCAACAGCGAGTCACAATAGCACCAAACAGCGCTCGCATTCGTGGCAGGCCCACGAGGGCACTGCTGCGACTTCACATCCACGCAGGGCTCGCTCTTTGGCTCGTGGGTGCAGTCCAGGGCTAGCGCCTAAACTCGGCCGGCCTTGGCAAAACTCAGTTTGGGTATTGAGCCAGACTGAACTGGTTTAGCCATGGCGCCACTGGCGCAACTCTTATTAAGGCTTCTAGTCCTTCTATAGTCACTATTAAGGCCAATTCAGCTTACATAATGGCTACGGTTAAATTACGGCCAATACTAACCTTAGGTAAGACAGTAACCCTAGGCAAGACTCGCAAGTAACGAGTGATACCCGTGAGTAAACTTGCGAGTATTGCCAGTTGCGCCACGAGTCTAACTGGCGGAACCTCTTTGGCGCAAGGGGTCCAGTTTCAAACGTTAGCCCTGGTGCAGTCGCAGGTGAATAACTGATGAAGTGCTGCGGGGACCAAGACCTGCGATCGATGGCCCTGACCGGCGTCGGACGCGCTGCTGCAGACTTGCAG